ACATGAGAAGGGTTTGTCCACCACTCATGGGCATCGCCCTCCAGCATGTAAGTAGCGAACACCAACTTCTGCGGATCTGTGCACTGCATGACCCAAAATATCTTGTCCAACGCCTGTAGCCAACGCGCCGCAGCAACAGAATCAAAGGATCCATCAAAGGCAGGTGGCTTATGCTTACGGAAAGCATTCAGCCGGCGATCGATCTCATCTCGATCCTCAACAAAAACAAGGACGGTCTGCATGGCCCCCGTAAGGTGACTGCCATCACCCATCTGACTCTGAGAGTCATCCTGCAGACTGGGTGGCGGTGGTGGTGGCAGCGGTGGAGATGGTGGCGGAGGAACATGGCCAACAGCAGGACCATTCCTCATCTCCTCCAACATGACTCTAAACATCGTCATGTTCGCCAGACGGTTGGCCTCCAACACGTCCTCAGTGGCCTTCCTGTTCGCCTCTCTGACGGCGTCCAGCATGGCCTGGTTTGCCATTCTCATGGCCTCCTGGTCGGCTTGTCGGGCCGCCTGCATCTCAGCCAATGCAGCCAGGACAGGATCGGGCTGATCCTCCGAAGTCTCGCGGTTTCTCCCGGGTCTTACCATGACTCTGCACAAGTTACACAAATTATGAGTTGATCAGACCCACGCAATGTGATCACATATGCATTATCATAGTAACACTCGATGGAGCAAACACACAAAACAGACACAACCAAACATCCTAATCATTGCAATACATACAGGCTTTTCCCTTGAACCGTTGCTCTGATACCATAAAATGTAACACCCCGTATATATCCGGTAGTGTTATCATTACATCGTATTAAGCGGTGCTTAATTAAAAATCCGGAATATTCTTTTTCTTTTCAATTATGACGTCATTATCAATTACCATCTTGATTACTTAATCAATTTCATAAAATATCGCCTGTATGTAAATTGCAATAAGACATCTACTGAAATACCTCTATATATAAATAAAGTGTGTATCTAAATCACGGACCTACAACTCGTAGTCCGGACCATATCGTGATACATTATTACAACTCCAAATAAAACACGACATAAACAAGTCTATGTGTCATGGACAATCCCCATGCTCACCAAATCAACAGCGTCTCAACAAGATAATCATAATCATAACACGAACTAAAAACATAAAGCAGCATGCATATCCAGCATCCAACATGTCAGCATAATATAACAGCAAATCTAACTCAGCTTCGGCCTCCTGCCGCCTGAGGTCTCAACATTACCTGAACCTGAAATAAGCATTCCCCAAACGTGGGGTGAGATCTCTAAACAAGAAATCCCAGTAAGACAAGGGGTCCTTAAGGATCTTCCACCCCAAGCTCACTTACATGTGCAATATAAGTTCTAAAAGCATTTATATCATTATCAGTTCCAAAACTATGTAGTGCAACAGATATCTATGGCATGTGTGTTTATCACTATCTACTGGCCAGAGAAATGTAGGAATACGTCTATCTCCTACTTGTAGTACAAGGAACACCGCTTGCACCTCACCCACAGCCTCACCTTATTGTATGTTCTACATACTCAGGCTTACCGTATAGGTGGAACACCTCCATGCATATCAACAAGGCACTAACATACAATAGCTCAACAGCATTTCCAAAACATCAAAAGCATGTAACACAGCATGCATATACCATCTCCCCATAGGACATGGTGGAACCACAACATGGCTAAACCGAGGACACGAAAGCTTACCTTGCAAGCTCACTATCCAATGTCAAGAGTCCTCACAGCTCAAGTCCAACACACAGCAGATCACAAATCTGATTTAGGACCAGCAAGTGTATCAACATACATAACTCAAAAGCATTAACATAAAAGACTATGTTCTCCTTTAACGATTTATGTCTTAAGGCTTCCAACAAAGCTACAAGCCCTCAATCACATGATTCTGACTTAGTTAATTAATTACAGAAGTTCAACTTCATCAATCTAGGGTCCACAAACCCCCAATAGCCTACTGTACACACAACACAACTACTGTTCTACGAAATCCCAGAATATCCGGATATTCCACGGGGACATATCCGGATATGCAATATCCGGATATCTCACTGTCCATATCCGGATATGCAATATCCGGGTATACAGATTCCCATATCCGGATATCCAATATCCAGATATCCAAAACCCCATATACAGATATCCAATATCCGGATATTTCACGGGCAGATATCTAGATATTTCACGACAGAATGCAGTTTCTGCATTTCGTGAAGATATCCTTCCAAGGTTGGGTTTTTATCGTTTAGAGACACTTAAACATGCATTTCTAGGTGTGTTTGACCATCCCCAACGTTAAGTTATCATCTTTTAGCCTTAACATGCATCAAGCTTCCATTTTTAAGCATAAAACTCAAGTTCAAAGGTCACAAGGCTTACCAAAGCTTAAAACAGAGCAAGAATGGCTCTTAAAGCTCACAAATCAGATGCTAAGGTACTGTCCCTCAAGGTGCACGAAAATGAAAATGAAGGTAGGTCTTTCACTCAACAAGAAGGCACCTTGGAGCATCAAAATGCCAACAAAAGGTCACACCCCTCAAGAACAGAAAACACAGCTCCCTCACACTTCTCACAGCAGCTGGACACTCACCAAAAGGCTCTCCTTTCACTCAACAATGATGCTCTCAAGTGTTTGCAAGCTTGAAGATGGAAGGAATCAAGTAAAGGTGGCACCTTGGCAAAGAAAATGGAGAAGAAACCAAGAGGCACTATTCTGATCAGCCACCCCTTCTCAAGCCACGCACAAGGGTAGTTATCTAGGGTTGTGTGCCCTTAGTAAGTGTATAAATAGCCAACTCACACTTAAACACGCAGTATTAGCTTTAATTGCTACGCTTAGCATTTTGATCCCAAACTTTGGATTCTTAACCTACTCAATTTTACAAGAATTGTCATAGTTTTATTATATTTTTTCTGAGCACCTTTCTGGTACGCGCTTTTCACAGCCAGTATCAGTTTCTGACATCAGTTCTTATTATTTGGACTTGAAACTCGTTTTACAAGTCCTATATATTATTCTAGTAATTATCATGCACTTATATTAATTTTCTGTGATACTTTTTTGGTACGCATTTATACCGACTAGCAGAACCGGTATCTGTACTTTTCTTCCGAAAAACGACTTTCAGCATTCTTAATCACTTACCATAATTATTAAAGCCTCTTAATAATTATTAGGGTCAATTATGGAATCATTTCCTATTTTCACATAATTAATTAATTAAATACCTTAATTAACGGTGTGGGTTCTTACATTATCACCCTAGGCTTGTGCTCTTTCAGGACATGCCCAAAAGTATACCTATGAGTCTCCATGTTTCAGGCAGACGAGGTATACAATTAAAACATGCCTTCCAGAACACAGTCTAGGTGAAAACTTCTGGTCTAAGGAAAGACATACCCAAATATTAAGAGACTGCTTTAATGATACTATTTGTGAGATTTTCTCATAGAGTCTCTTTGTGGGTCTGTTCAGTGCGAGCTATACCCTCATAGGTCCACCCATGACTTTAGCTAAAACATCTCCATATCTGTAGCTCATGAGGTCTTTACCTTGTATCCGAATACAAGTAGATAAGTCGTGCTAGTCTTACCCGAGATTATTGATCCCCATTCTCAGTGTCTCTAGACTAGGAACATAAAATTAGGAATAAACATCCGGTATCCTTGAATCCTCATGATCGTGATCTCATCACAGATACTCAAGAGATATCTATTCTATTCCAAAGCAGAATATGGTTCTTTATAACACAAAAAGTACATATTTGATCATATGCCAACTTGTCCCAGATATATAGTCCATGAGACAAGTCAGTCTTTAAAAGACCTTAAAAGTAACCTGTATGAGAAAATATAGAAAAAAGAGGGTTGGATGAACCACAAGACAAAACATCAATGTTCATCCATATCCCAATTTACTTATTTAATGACATACAAAGGTACTACATACAATTTATATACAAATGAATTAATTTTCCAACCTGAGACATTTGAGGCCTTAAATGATAATCCTGTCAAATGCAAAAGGGGAATTTTACATCATGCAACAGCTTCTAATACTTGGATCTTCTAGTTTATGAAAAGGCATGTTCTTCAAGACATAGGTGTACCTTTCAAATAATTTGAACCACAAGCAATGAGCAAAATAATTTTAAAAGAATCAGAGTTAGTTTTTAAAGAAAGAGAGGTGAAATTACTCTATTCTTGTCAAAGTGATGAAAATAACATTACTACATACAATTTAGAGTGGACCATGTCATAAAAATATGACCACTTAATCCGCTCCCTTAAACTAAAAGTACTCTATTTAGTAACCATTCGTAACTTTAGAAAGAAAGAAAGAAAATATATAGGGTAATTCAAGAAATAGAAAAACAATTGAAGTAGAGGAAAAATAAAATGGCAAATAGAGAGTGAAATCATTTAGATATTACATTCAACATGTTCCTCATCACATATGCATTTCATCGAGAAGGTAGAATGCAAAAATGATTCCCTTATAGCTACTATATGCAATACATCATAGAAGCCCTAAATCAGCCACCACGTAAAAAAATAAAGAGGGAGAGCGAAAGAAGTCTAGCATAATTCACGCAACGTGTGCAGAGGAGAAGGAAAATGAAAATCAAATTGAACACATTTTGGAATATTGAAATTGAACAACAATAACAGAAAACACTATTGAAGAATTTTGGCAATCAAATTCAACGAGAAATTTAGAAATGTTAGTGATCCTTCATGAGCCATAATCAATCATGTTAGGGAAGCTATCCTTAATGTTGGATCTCGCGAGCGAGGCATTACCGATGGTGGTTCCATTGGTTTCCAAGGATAAGCTCTGGCTCTGAGTCATAGTCTAATTTGCTGCACTCAATTGTAATCGGTTTAACATAGCCCCGTAAAAAGAAAAAAGCAAAAAAGTACAAGACAGTTAAAAACTTAAGGACAAAGACCGATGGAAAATCATAAGTAGGATAACGATAACCTCTCCAATAAAAATTCATTATAAAATGTATTAGGAAGCATTTGGATCTCTTCTTCTTGGACTAAGACTCCATTAGCCTCTCTCATCTGCATCGAAAATAAATGTGGCCAAGTCATGGTGAGACCATCATCTTCTTTTTCCTTATATACCAACTCAGTTCTCTTGGAAATCTCCACCTCATTCGTCCTGTCGACCTAAGACATAAGACAGAGAATGCAAGAAGACACTGTTAAAGAGATGTGTGATCAACGTATATAAATTATGTTCAGAATCATAAAAATGTAAAAAAAATCAAAACCCTGAAAAGAATAACACACCATTCTTACATGTGTGGTAGGAGCTTCAAGTTCAAGAACAACCGTCTTTCTCGTTTGCTTCACAGTGAAATCTTTTTGTCTAATTCTTTTCACTCCCTGCTTTTTGTGAAGATCATGTCTTAAATTCTTTCTGAATCTACATAGAACATAGTTGTCGGCCTACATGCAAAATAGATATGATAATCAATTTAACAAACCGAACAAGAACAATATTTCTTAAAAAAAAAACAGGAACAAATTTGAATACAAAAAAAAAATGACAGTAATAGAGTTCTTACAGATCCATTGTGTAACAATGAAGAATCAAGTCTGTATTCATGCAAGATCCAAGCACCATCATGGTTGGTGCCATTTTTCTCAAATCGTAAACGTCTCCTTATCCCAATACATTGCATTGTGCCATTGGCCATAACCTTTTTTCCCTTGTCTTCAGCTTCCCAAGAACCACACCCAATGGTACGAACAGAGCGTGTGCCACTGGAGAATTTTTTCTTTAAGGTGGTGAAGAAGTAAATGTCAGTTCCACCGTAAGAGTTAGAATCTCCAAAGGCTTCCCAAATCTCCCAAGGGTTCTTTTCACCATATAAATCATATTCAAGAATAGTAACATCTCTAGGCAATGGTTTCCCATTGACCTTGTTGTAAAGAAACAACTGGATGAGTTCATCATCGGTGGGTTTGAACTCTTTCCTTGAACAAGAAATAAGAGCCATCAAATCTGTGATAATTTGCAAATAGAATTTGAAAGAATGTAAGAAAAAACACAGTGCAGTCGATGAAGAATGTTGAAGAGAACCACAAGACAGCTAGCTTTGTATATATATATATACATTGGTTTTGACCATTTGATTTAGTTATGCGGTAATAGATATTCTTTTTTTTTTTTTGGTATATACGGTAATAGAAATTCTGAACGTTGTAATAAACAATTGGACTCAATTACCCGCTTGAATTTAAACTACCGCCAAAACAAACCGTGACATATTGCTTTCTTTTAATTTTTTTTATAAGTCTAAAACGGGAAAATTAATGTGCATTTGAATTCCCTACTTTCAAAAAAACTAGTATATTACCCGTGCGATGCACAGGAAAAGAAAGTTCAAAATTTTTGTCGTCCTCTGTGATTGGTTAATCGCACTGCAAACCTTATACTTACAAAAAACTGTGTTGTTATTTTGTTCTATATTTCAGGTGAAAAAAATTACAGCATTTACACAAAACTTTGCAAATATCAACCACAAACAGAAATCTGCTATTTAGATGGATACTTAATTACCAAATGGTGGTAGCTCAGTTGGCGCATGGGAGCTGAGCAGGTGGGGGTGAGAACATGTGTTCGAACCTCTCCAGTACCACCTTTGGGAGGGGTTTAAAGCCTTAATCCTAGACCCGCCCCGAATCGGACTAATCGCGAAGCGATGAACCGATGGAATATTTCCAAAAAAAGATGGATAATTAATTTTGCTTACAACTATATCATAATACGTTATAATACACCATGTTAACATGAGAAAGGGATATAAAAAGAAAAATGCGTACAAATCATTGCAAACTATAATTATTATTTGCAAGGATTTGTGTCGTTAGTATTTGAAATTTTACAAATTTGTATTTACCAAAATTAAAATCAGATTTAGGTATTCAATTATAAAAGAAGAAGGATGAAATTTTAATTTAATTATAAACATGTGTTTGTGGGTCGGCCCTCCGGGCCGAGTCCAGTTTGCCACCTCTAACTATCAGCATGTAAAAGGTTTTTATACTTATCCACAAAATAAGAATTTTATAGTTGCGTCTAGCTTTTTATATTTTATCTCAGAAATGAACTTTCATTTACTACAATCAGATTTATAAAATAAAAATAAATAATTATTTTTTTTGCAAGGATTAGTGTCGTTAGTCTTTGGAATTTCACAAATTTGTATTTATAAAAATTGAGATCAGATTTAGTAATTTAATTATAAAAGAAGAAAGATAAAATTTCAATTGAATTATAAAAATATATTGCGGGCCGGCCCTCCGGGCCGAGCCTAGTTTTCCACCTCTAGCTGTCAAAATTTTATATAGATAATTATTTTTTTGCAAGTATTTGTGTTAATTACACTCTTGCAATAAAAAATGAAAGTTTAATTTCTTTCTTATGTACTAAATAAAAATTTTCATTTTTATAGTTCTTAAATTTTAAAAAATAAAATTTACAGAATGACAAACGTCATTTTTTATTTAAATTTAAAATTTAAAACTTTTTATATTAATTATACATATTTTTTTATATATTTTTTTTCTATTTTAATTTATGATTTTTATATATTTTTTTAATTGGTTATACATGTATATTTAAAATTTTTATGTTAAAATTTAAATTTATTTTTTGTGAAGTATAAATTATGCCATTTCTTATTTTTTTTAATTTGAAATTTTAAATAATTTTTATCGACTATAAATGTATTTTTATAATTTTAAATATTTTATTTTTAATCTATAATTTTATATTAAATTTAATTTTATTATATATATCTCTTTTTACACTGCAGAAACATTAAATGCTGAACTATTTTTTCACCTATCAAATTCAAAATTTAAATTTAAATGTTTGAATTTTAAATATTAAAACATTTTCTCACTTAATAGACATAATAATAAATATTATTAATAAACTTAAATTCCTTCACAAAAAGTAGTGGAAAACATGTATAAAAAACCGTGCATATTCTCCAAGTAATAATTTCTAGTTATTCACTCACGAGTAGGGGTGATAAACGAGCCAAGGGCCTTTCTGGGGTCTTTGGCTCGGCTCGTGAAGGCCTGAGCTTATATGCCTAATATTGGTTGTTGGAACCAGTCTTGGACTTTTATAAAAGCTCGTTTAGTAAAAAGGCCTCAGGCTCCAATTCAAAAGTTCGGCCTTGAAGCCTCTCAGGCTGGCCTAGTATATTAATTTTTATTTTTATTTATATTTTTTATACTATTTGTAATAGCCCTCTCTCCCCTCTCAATCCATTTCATCCCTATTTTATTAGTTAAACATACTTTTTGAATGATTTTATTCTATATTTTGCTGTTTGAATATACATTGGATTCATGAATATTTATGGAATTACTAGTGTTATTGACTGTATATTCTGTTTGGATAAATTTTTGTTGGCTTATATTTTTTTTAACAGGCTAACCGGCTAAATCAGGCTTTTATTTTTTGTAAATAAGGCAGGTCACAGGCCGATAATTATATTCATAACAGGTAAGAGGCTTCGTAAGGCTGACACATTTAAACACAGGCTCAGCCTTTTAAGACCAAAGATCGGCTCGGCCCTTTAACACCCCTACTCACGACATAGAAAATTGTGTTAATTACACTCTTACATCAAAAGAATAAAAGCTTAATTTATTTCTTATATATTAAATTACATTTTTGTAGTGATTAAATTTTTATAATTTATTTTTTACAAAATGATAGTTGTCATTTTTTATTTTTATTAAAATTTAAAATTTAAAATCTTTTGATTTAATTATAAATATTCTTTAAAAAAAAAATTGTTTAATTTATAATTTTTATATTTTTTTGAATTGTTTATACATATAAATTTAAAACGTTTACGTTAAATATTTTTCTTAAAAAAATACTTGTATGGGAATTTCTTATCGTTTTGTATTATTTTTGTACCGAGTGTCACAATTATATAACTCCATTGATAATAGATACTAATGCATTCACTTGTATTTGATTGAATGCATTAGTATGGGAAGTTGAAATAATAATTATTTTCTGGGTACAGAAAATAAGAACCCCCAACGCAACACAATGAAGAAACACTCTGTAAAAAAATATGAAATTAATATGTTATGCAATTAGAAATTTATCCATCGGTTACAAATTCATTTTCAGCAGTAAGACAAAAAAACTATTCACAGGCATCGAAGACGTTGAAGACAAAAAACACAGGCAAGCACTACACAGCATCGAAGACGTGGAATACAGGCAAAAGCTATTCACGGTAGCAAGAAACATTCCACCCTAAAAAATGGAAAAAAGAGAGAGAATAAGTATACAGAATACAAAACGAACAAAAGAGAATTAGTATACAAAAAATGAAAACGAATTAAGATCATTTATTTATAAAGGAACAAAAAAAATACAACATTAGCTACAAAAACGAACGAAGAAACAAAACACAGGTAAAAACTATTCACTGTAGCAAGAAACCTTCCGCCCTGAAAAACGAAAAAAGAGAATCAGTATAAAAAACACAAAACGAACAAAAGAGTATAAACAACAATACCTACAAACACAAACGAAGAAACGAATCGGAGGCACTCTCCCATGACGTAAATGAATCGGAGGTAAGCCAAAGGAACCAAAAAATAATACCAACACAAAAATCCACACAACACCGTAAAATAAAATTATAAACTGAGAAAAATAATAATAAAAATTTAACGTGTGTATTTGGAGCACTCCACTTACCTAAAACAGACTAAAGCATTTCAATATGTTGAAGGGAAGTGATAATCTCAGGGCCAGCAGAGGCAAACACTTGCTTGCAAGTCTGAAACAATCTCAGACCCGGTAACATATCTTCCTCTGACGATGTTGCCGGTTTTTCCTTGATTTGCTGTTAGTGTTCGTCTCTTTGGGAAATTCACACAACTCTCCCCTTTTCTTCTCAGACAACTTCAACTTCCTTGTTTTGGAAGACGAAAAGAAGAAATGAAAGAAGCTATTTTTCTCAAGGAAACAATTAGCAAAAATTGTATACAGGACAAAAGAACGAAATAACAATGCACAACGTTTCTTTTTATAGACGACGCAAGCAACAAAAGAAAAGCAATCAGAAATTAAATGAGTTGTCTGCCACCCAAAACTTTCCAAATCTCTTCCCACCATCCATAATTTTAATTCAAAATTTCAAATCATTTCAAAATTTGAATTTTAAATCAGCTGAGTAATAATTCCAATGTAAAAAGCAATTAAATCAGCTGACCAATTCCAATGTGAACAGCAGTGGGACATTCAATGCCTTGTCTGCCACCACAAATGCTCATTTATTTTTCGATTTAAAAAAAAATCAATTTTTAAAAGAAATTCTTTTTCTAATTTATCAAAGAAGGAAAGTTTTTTTTTTTTTTTTTTTGATAACAAGAAGGAAAGTTTTTATATGCCCTGTAGTGTGAACACAATTTTCAGAATTAAGCAGGGAGTGACACATCAGCGTTTGCAACATTGAACTCTCCTATATATATATATATATATATATATATATATATATATATATATATATATATATATATATATATATATATATATATATATATAGACTAGAGATGAGAGTTACATTGTAACAAAGACGCTGTTTTCGTAATCGAATCTATAATTTTACAATGGTTCCATACTCAACTTTATTTTTAATATAAATTTTTTATCTGAAAAGTTTCGGGTAACATTTAATTCAAGATTTATTAGTCAAAAAATTAAAGAAGTTATAGAAATTTTTACTATATTATTTTTATAAAAAATTGAATCAACATGATTAAAAAAAACTGTCTTAACTATTGTTTCAACCGAATGCATAAAATTAAAATTGAAAATATAATTAAAATTACAATTATAAAAGTTATATAATACTCCTTAGTAGCAATACCTCTGTTACGTAAATAAATTGTTGGGCATTGAATATGAAATTGTTACAATACAATTCTTAGTGGAAATTATCTCATGGATTTTACTAATTAAACTCTTTCATGAACGATATATAATTTGAACTTGATTAAAAGAACAAACATGAGACCAATTATATTTCGAAACAAAATTAAGAATGTTGTGCACCAAAATTTACCTTTTTTCCCAAAAGATTTATGGAGTACGGATCCACTGGATTGACTCGTGTATCTATTTTATAAGATCATTTTATGTGAAAAATATAAAAATTTAATCATTCATTGTCAATAGACAACAATTAAAATGACAATTCCATCTTTGGTGATTTACGAGCTTTATCATTAAAATAATTGTTATCAATTGATTTGTCGAATGAATTTTTTTTTCACGAGCATAATAAGAAAGGGCATAAAAGGATCCATTCCCACCCTAAGGTGGTCAATGTCTACGGAAGTTCCAAAAAATGAAAGATGGTTGTAAGAACCCGCACCATTAATTAAGGAAGTTAATTAATTAATTATGAGAAATTAGGAAATAATTCCATAATTGACCCTAATAATTATGATAAGGCTTAAATAATTATGGTAAGTGATTCATAATGCTGAAAGTCGCTTCTCTGACGAAAAGTGCAGATACCGGTTCTGCTACTCAGTATAAATGGGTACCGATGAAGTATCTCGAAAAATTATAATAAGTGCATGAATATTCCTAGAATAATATATAGGACTGTGATTCCAAGTTCCAAGTTAAAATAATGAGAACTGGTGTCAGAACTGATACTGGTTATGTAAAAGCGCGTACCGAAAAGGTGCTGCGAAAAATAAAATAAAAATATAGAAAATCTTAAAAAAATGAGTAGGTTCAGAATCCCAAGTTTGAGATTAAAATGCTAAGCGTAGCTATTTTTGTTAATACAGTGTGATTAAACGTAATCCACTTATAAATACTAAGAGGCACAAACTTCTAGGTCATTTCCTCTCATGCTATGTGCCTCCATTTCTCTAGAACACCACCAGCGACCTTGTCACCCCTTCTTCTCCACTTGGTGAGCCAAAGTGACCACCTTTCTCCATTGTTTCTTCATCATATCTCCATGGTTATGTGTGATTGAGACTTGGGTGGGAGAAATGCTTTTGTTTTCAGAGTATAGGTTCTGTTTGAGGGTTCTTGTGGGGCTGAGTTGTGAGTTTTCTTGTTGAGGGCCTTTATCATGGTATTTTGAGCTTCAAGGTGTGACCTTTGAAGAGAAAGAACTACTCTTGATCACCATTTTCGTGGGTTGTGCTTAGCCTGACTTTGGGAGCTTCATGTGAGCTCCAAAAGCATCATCTATTTCTGTTTTAAGCTTGGGTAAGCTTCACCACCTTTGATCATGAGTTTTAATGGTTAAAAGTGGAGTCTTGGCATGTTTATTGAGTTGTTTAAAGTAACCAACCAGTTTATGAACCTAAATGGACTTAAAGATGCATGCTTTAACGTATTGAAGTGTTAAAAACCGAAACTTTGGAGTGATATCTCGCGAAATGCAGAAACTGCATTCTGTCGCGAAATATCCGGATATGGGTTCTTGTGATATCCGAATGTGGATATCCGGATACGATATCCGGATATGTCCCCGATAAATATCCGGATATTTTGGGTTTTCAAGAACAGTAGCGGTACTGTTCATACAAAAGGTTGTTTAGGGTTAGTGGACCCATGATTGGCTTATGTGGACTCCTGTTGTAATTAATCTAAGTCAGAATCAAAGTAATTAAGGGCTTGTGGCTTTGTGAGAAGCCTAAAGACAAGAAACGTAAAGGAAATGTGTTGTCTTTATGTCATATGCTTGTATGTTTGAATATTGATATGATTGTTGGTCTAAAACAGATTGTGATTCTGCTGTGTGTGGACTTTGAGCTTGTATGGACTCTTAGCTCGAATAGTTAGCTTGCAAGGTAAGCTTTCGTGTCCTCGGTTTAGCCATTGTTTGTTCCACCATGTCCTATGGGGGGATGATTATATGCATGATGTGTTTTCATGTACTGTTTTATTGAAATGCTATTGAGTCGTTAAGTGCAATTGCTTTATGATATGAATGTGATGTTTCGCCTAGCCAAGAAGCCATGGGGTGGACGGGTACAACATGGGCATGTACTGTGTGGGTAATAGACGTATTCCTGCACTTCTCTGATCAGTAGAATAGTTATAATACACATGACATAATTATCTGCTGCATTGCACTGGTTTTGGAACTAATATTGAATTACTGCTTTTAGAACTTATATTGCACATGTAAGTGAGCTTGGGGTGGAAGATCCTTGAGGACCCCTTGTCTTACTGAGATTTCTGTTTAGAGATCTCACCCCACGTTTGGGGCGCTTATTTCAGGTTCAGGTAATGCGGGGGTTGAGACCTCCAACGGCAGGAGGCCGGAGCTTAGCTGATTTATATGTTGTTATGCTGATATTGTTGGATGCTGAATTATGCCATTGCTATTTGCTGTTAGCTTTATGATTATGTTGTTGTTGTTGTTGAGACCTTGTTTGACTATGTTACCTTATTTGGTGAGCATGAGGATTGTCCATGCCACACTGAGTGACTATGTCTTACTTTAGCTTCAAGTTGTATTAATGTATCAGGATTATGTCCGGACTACGTGTTGTAGTTCCGTGATTTTAGATACTCACAGTTAATTATATTTTGAGGTATTTCAGTTAGCTGTCCTTTGTAATTTACATATAGGCAATGTTTTGAAATGAATTAAGTAATTCAACTTGGTAAGGATGATGACGTCATAATTGAACAGAAAAAGATATTCCGCATTTTTAATTAAGCGTGGCTTAATACGATGTCATGTTAACAAACCGGGTATACACGGGGTGTTACAATGGCTAACCACCTTGCTTATAAGTTCAAATAAACCAAAATATGGATATCTAGAAGTTGCCTTACATATAAGTTCAAACAAACCAAACTAAGCAGTAGTACAAGTCTCGTAATTGATCAAATAGGCACAGGTTATAATGACCCCAACTAGTAAATCTTAGGTAGAGATTTAATTTAAGGATTTAAATGTCGTAATTAAATTCAGAACATGATTTCGAGTGTTTTCACTTTATTCATGACTAGGTCATGAACAATGACTTCTGTCGGGTATTCTGCACTGCTGTGTAGCAACCGATAGAACTCAAAAATGAGAAAAAGAAATCCAATTTATGCCTAATATGTTATTTTAGGACAAAAAATGTAATATATATTAAGTTTGTAAGATTAATTATAAGTAGTGTAAATTAAGTAGGTAAAATACACATATTCTATTTTTTCCACTGAAATGACACTAGGAGAGAGAAAACATAACTCCACTTCCTTCTTCCCTTCATATGGTGGATTAACTTTTCCGTCTAATAATAATTCTTATGTAATTGCAATGCTAAAATAAAACCTGAATTACCTCGTACTCATAAATAACAATTCAAAAGCATCCATAACTCATGATGCTATAATACAAATACTCAAGTCAATAAATAATCCATCAAGTCTAGTTATAATAAAGTCTCCTCATGGTAGAATGAATAATCGTAATATGCATGACTCATAACAATAATAAAATCTCTATGCTGGCCTCTTGCCTCTTTTAGTGTCTGTCTCACGAACGTCTTCTCCTGAAAATGTGCCCCAAAAAAGGGTGAGATTTCTAACAAAAATCTCAGTAAAACAAGGGGTCCTCAAGGAATCCTCCACCCCAAGCTCACTTGCAAGTATAATATAGGTTCTAAAAAAGTGCAGGCAGTATATAAAGAAGCAGATTAATAACAAGATACCAGGCCATTTATAGCAGTAAACAATGCAGTATATAAAATAAGCATGCCATATGATATATCAAATGAGTGTGCAATGCCGCATATGTCCATGTCATGTGTGTATGCATCCTGCTGGCTAGAGAATATAATGTAGGGATTACGTATGTCTGCAACCCACAGTACAAGGAGTCCATCATGTACCTCACACACGGAGTTACCATCTTGCATGTGGCCTGACATGCTCAGGGATTTTCGTCTCACGTGGAATACCCCGCATACAGATACATATGGCAAATGCACTAGATCATAATCCAGCTCAACATCATATCTAATACTCATAACATAAACAGATATAATTCCATAATCCAGCTCAACAACTTATCCAATACTCATAACATAAACATATATTATTCCATAAAACATACCATGCACATAAACCAATCCCCCATGGGGTTTGGCAAAACAAGCAACGGATAAAATCGAGGACCAAAAGCTTACCTGTATCGGTAAAGTCCTCTAATACCAACTCAGTATCAACGTGGTGACCAACAACCAAACAATCCAGGGAGTCACAATATGGTTTAATGGAAATTACATCATCAATAATCATATCTTACAATTTCATGTCAAATGGAACATGTTTTTTTTTTCGTTTAGCGTACTGCAGGCTTCTTCCAAAGCCCCCAAGCATAAATCGTCTTTACAATTTTTAAAACTGTAGTTATATCTCTTTAGGAAAAAATTTAAGATTTTAATATGTTAAACTAGATATCTCAAGCTTTCCAACGACATATTTTATGTCTCATTTGGAGTTGTATAACTCTGGTTATGTTTTTCGTAAAGTGATTGCTGTAAACTGAATTTCCTTCAACCAAGATGCAACTTCAATTGACACTGGGATCAAACCACTTATCCAATAGCTACGAAATTTTACAGAGTTGTATCCCTATGCCTTAGCTTCACATAGGTCCAAATGGAACTCGATTTGGAGCTCTGTAGCTCCAGATATCAATTTTTTACTAAGAGGGGTCCGTTGCTGTCTACATATCCGGATATTTTACAGCAGTGGCCAAAAACAGCATCCCAGTACAAAAATATCCATTAAAATACCATCTTTCACCTAGATACATATATTCCATCAACTTAGCATGCATTTTAACACTTAAGTTCATCAACCAACGTTCAAGTTATCAAAACTCATAATTTTACATCTTCAAATCATGTTATTTTCATAAAAACACTAAGGGAAGTGTTGAGGTATATACCCATGAGCTTCAAAACGGAAAAAGGAAGGGACTTCATGGTCTGCAACCCACTTTTCACTGCTGTCAAAACAAGTGCACGAAAAGGGCTTGTCAAAAGATGGTTCTTTCTTCTCAAAGGTGACTCTTTCGTGCTCCAATGGTGGTATAAAGGCCTCCAACTCACTCAACAAAGAAGAATAGTTCTCTAACTTCACAAGGCAGTAGCTAGAACCTTTCAAGAATGGATCCTAGAAGTTGCTTGCTTCCAAGTGTTTGGGATGATCAAAATGAGAGGAGATGAACAAAGGTGAAATCTTGCTTGGTTTCCATGGAGGAACTCAAGCTTATTTGGAGAAGAAGAGAAGAGTCACTCATCAGCCATGCACACTAAAGGAAGGCAGCTAGCATGTGTTAGAATCACTCTAGGGTTTTGTGCCATTAACTATTTATAAGTGCACACACTTAAGCTAATAATATTAGTTTAATTAGTTATACTCTTTGTTTAACTCTAAAATTTTAGATCCTTGACCTAGACATTTTTCTAGAAATTATCATATTTTTACATTAATTTTTCAAACACTTCACTAGTACACGTTTTATACAGCGAAATAGCCAGTATATGTTCTGATATCACTGCTTATTATTTTTACTGCAAACTTGATATTCTTAACCTAGATATTTTTATAGGAATATTCATATTTTTATTTCCATTTTTCGAGTAACATCGCCGGTATCCATTTATACCGTAAAATACCCGGTGTTTGCACTTTCCTTCTGAAAAGTGGCTTAATATTAATTATCATGTTCTTTCCATATTTATCCAAAGTTAACTATGGAATTATTTCTTAAATCATATTTAACTCATTAATTTTCTAATTTAGCGGTGCGAGTTCTTACATACCTCATCTCCAAGCTGCTCATCGCGTGCTTGCTTATGTCAAGGCCACTGTTGGTCAATGATTGTTCTTTCCCTCCACTTCTTCTTCTCAGTTGCAGGTATTTTGTGATTTTGATTGGGCCTCTTGTCCAGACAGCAGGAGATTCATCTCTAGATTATGCATTTTCCTTGGAAATTCTCTGATTTCTTGAAAGTCTAAGAAACAACATACCGTTTCTCGCAGTTCAGCAGAGGCTGAGTACTGTTCCATGGCTCATACTACCTGTGAAGTCATTTGGTTAGTTCATTTGCTCAAGGATCTTGGCTTTCCTCATCCTTCTACAGCGCATCTATTTTGTGATAATCAATCAGCCTTACACATAGCAGCTAACCCGGTCTTTCATGAGTGCACAAAGCACATTGAAATAGATTGTCATCTTGTTTGTGATTGCATTACTCGTGGCACATTGAAGACTTTTCACATCAACTCTTGTCATCAACTTGCAGACATGACAAAGGCTCTGCCTCCATCTCTTTTTTCTGTTCTTTTATCCAAGATGGGAATCATTAACATTTACTCCCCATCTTGAGGGGGAGTATTACAATAAGTCATTTTTTTTTTATTTTTTTTCATTATATTTTCTTTTAATGACCACATCAGCTGAGTGGTTATAACAAAATTGTTTTGCTAATATCTTTTGCTCAATATATTCCCATTCTTTTGTACAGACCAAGAGAGAGAATAAATATACAGAATTTAGTTTGTTTCTCATTCTTCTTTCTACTAGAAATATTGGTTTGGTATTTCCCTAAAAAACTTAAACAAGACCAATGGAAAATCCTAAGTAGAATGGCGAAAACTTCTCCAATAACAATTCATTGTAAAATGTATTGGGAAGCATTTGAATATCTTCTTCTTGGACTAATTAAGACTCCATTAGCATCTCTCATTTGCGATGAAAATAACTCTGGCCAAGTCATGGCGAGATCATCTTCTTGTTCCTTATACACGAACGTAGTTCTCTTGGAAATCTCCACCTCCTTCGTCCTATCGACCTAAAACAAAGAATACAAGAAAACAATATTAAAAAGATGTGTGATCAACGTATATAAATTATGATCAGAATCACTAAAACGTAAAAAAATCAAAACGTTGAAAGAATAACACACCATTCTTAACTTTCTTTATAATTCTAAAATTTTCTTTTTAATATATATTATTAAATTTTTTCTAAATTAACTATATAATACCCCTTAAACTTTCATATTTTTTCCATCTAAATATTTTAAATTTTATTAAAATTTAAAATATTTAACAAATATAGCACAATACTTACATGTGTGGTGGGAGCTTCAAGTCCAAGAACAACGGTTTTCCTCAGCTAGGTCTTAGTGATGTCTTCAAGTCCAAGAACAACGGTCTTCCTTGGTTGCTTCACAGTGAAGTCTTCTTGTCTAGTTCTTTTCACACCCTATTTTTTTGTGAAGATCATGTCTTAAATTCATTTTAAATCAGCATAAAACATAGTTGTCGGCCTACATACAAGATAGATACGATAATCAATTTAACGTTTGTAAAACCGAACAAGATCAAGATTTCTTAAAAGAGAACAGGAAAAATTTGAAAACCCTAAACCCTAAAGATTAAATAACAAAGTATAGTACTTACAAATGCATTGTCTAACAATGAAGAATCAATTCTATATTCATGCAAGATCCAAGCACCATCATGGTTGGTGCCACCCTTTTCAAATTGTAAACATCCCCTTATCCCAATACAATGCATTGTGCCATTGGCCATAACCTTTTTTCCCTTGTCTTCCACTTCCCAAGAACCACACCTAATGGTGCGAACGAGCGTGTGCCAGTGGAGAACTTTTACTTTAAGGTGGTGAAGAAGTAAAGGTCAATTCCACCATAAGAGTTAGAACCTCTAAAGGCTTCTCCAATCTCCCAAGGGTTCTTTTCACCATATAGGTCATATTCAAGGATCGTAACATCTTTAGGCAATGGTTTCCCATTGACCTTATTGTAAAGAAACAACTGGATGAGTTTATCATTGGTGGGTTTGAACTCTTTCCTTGAAGATGGAATGGGAGCCATCGAATCTTTGAAAATTTGCAAATAGAATTAGAAAAAATGTAAGAGAAACAGAGTGCAGTCGATGAACAATGTTGAAGAGAACCACAAGAAAGCTAGCTTTCTGTGTGTGTGTGAGTGTGTGTATATATATATATATATATATATATATAGGAAAAAATATTTCTGCAGCCACTTTAGATAAGCTTATCTACAGCTACTCATTTATAACTATGTTCTCCCGGGAGAACATAGTTATAACATTAAAGTTACTTTTTTCTATCTCTCCACGTCAGCAGACAGGTTGATGCTCACAGGCAAGTGATATGCATTCAGCATATAACGAAATATAAGCCAAAAAGAGAAAGAATGTTGATTAAATCTTAAGCAAAAAGGGCAATAATCACTGTTGATCTGTCAAAATCTTTATCAGAGATTGCATACTGATTTTATGTTGATTTCGTAGAAAAAATAGACAAACTGGAGCTAAAAAGGAAAAAGCTAAACTGCAGGCCCACGCTCACAGCGTGGGTATGACGCTCAAAGCATGAAAGGAGCTTTTCAGCCAGAGGCATCCACGCTACTAGCGTGGGATTAACGCTAGTAGCGCCAGAGATTAAAAACAAGCAAAAGCTACCACGCTACTAGCATGGCATTGACGCTAGTAGCGCCAGACTCTCAATCAGTCCACGCTTGCAGCGTGGAAACCACGCTAGTTGCGTGGAGCTCCGGGATTCTGAAAAAAAACTCCCACGCTCATAGCGTGGGAACCACGCTAGTGGCGTGGGAGGTGCGTCAATCAGCATTAAATCTGTTTTAAATCAGAGACAGATCACACTGAGATTACGACAAGGATTCAATCAAGATTCTACACCAGGTCAAAGACTATATAAATAGAGACTCAGACCTCAAGAGAAAAAGAACTTTTGCACAAAGAGGAAGACAGAGGCAGAACGCAGAGAAAACTTCTTCTCTAATTTTCTGGTTTTATTATTTTATTTTATGAATTCTTTTCAATTCTTAGAATTGTCATACATGAATATGTCTGGCTAGTTTTTAATATTGTGGTAATGGTCACAACCCTTGATGTGAACCCCTTGTAGTTTGGTTAAATTTATATTTAATTATTTTAAATTTCATTTATTTTATCCTGTTCTTCATCTTTTAATTCTTTTAGAATTGATCACTTTATTAGGATTGCGAGGGTTAGGGTTTTCAATAGGAATATTGGGATTCTAGTTCCTGACAAAGGGTAAAATAACAGTTCATGTATGCACTAGGGATAGGCTACATGAACTGCAAACGTGGAAAATTCACTGGGTTAAAGGATTAACTTGAAAAAGGATTTCTAAGGGATTAGGATTCTAATAGGGTTAATAAAGTTAAGATCACTAAGGGATTAGGGCTTAA